CCTGAAAAAATACTCTCTCCCACCGCCGCACTGACTGGGCTGGCTGGCCGCATCGCAACAGCAGCGGGTGCACAGTTCCCATATTGTCACTCGGATCCGCCAGCAGGGGGGCACACGGGGGGGGGCAAGCAATAACCTAAGGGGGTTGCCCCCCTGTAGCGACGCCACTGCTCTGTGTAGGAGGACTTTGTGCAGACTACAAGCTATTCTGAACAGTTTGAAAGGGAATCTGTCCCCTGTGGCAGTGCATGGCAATGCCACTGAGTTATCTCCATTCCTGTGTCCAGAATTTGAGTGCACAGCCTTTAAAATAAAGGTGTTGGGAAGGGTTCAAGGCTCCACCTGGGAGACAGGAAAGCTCCACCCAGGAGTCAGAGTGGAGGCCAGCGCAGCAGGGTGCTGCAGGTTGGAAAAACCCCAGTGTGCAGGTTAGCACACGACTGTGACTGTTTGGAGGTACAGACAGTGGGCTGAGGCCGGAGCAGGGGTGCTGCAAATGCAAAGCCAGGAGGCTGGATGGGCATGTGCTGCCAAGGAATGCTGAAGAACCCCTGCGAGGGTAATTGCTTTATGTTTGTGAACTTTCATTTAATAAAAGTGGGCAAGGAAGCCCTGAAATGAAGGTTTCTGCGAGTGGATGCATCCTTAATGCACTACGGTTTGGAGCGAATTCTCACACCCCATAGAAGAAAGGGACACCCGAAGCTTCCTCTTATTAAAGGAGAACTATGGGGTCAGTGTTTTTCCCCATAGTTCTCCTTAAGGTAACGGGAGGACACAAACTAGCGTCCTCCCGTTACCCTAAGCTCAGTATAGCGCGAGCTTGTATCCTTTGGTGAACTTGCTCCCAAATACTGTAGATTGCATGATGAAAGTATGGTTGTACTAAGCATTTTGGCTGAAGGGACCCATCTAACAGTCAGCCATGATCATAGTTTGGGTGAGTATAACTCTGTTATTTTAACTCCCTAGACAAACCGAGCACTTAACCCTATTTGCCCGGAGTTCTCCTTTAATAGATCTTAGAACGGCTAAACATTTGCTGCAGTATAGATTGGGTCTTATCATCCCATTGCAAACCAAACTTTTTTAGGGTTTTGGAGAGGGATGCACCGATACCAAGTACAGTACTCGGTACAAGTACCAGTACAGATACTTTTCGAGCTCCAAGACTAGACTAGAGAGAAATTCAAAAGTTAGGAGGCAGCTGTCATTTGTAAGGAGCACACAGAGCTCCTGGGATTGTAATGTATGATTTTGTTTTTATAAACATTTATAAAGGGATGCACCGATGCCAGTTTTGCGAGTACAAGTACTGGCACAAGTACTTACAAGTACGAGTACTGATACATTTTTGTTTATTGTCATGTGACAGTTTTTCTAAAATAATATCGACTAATGATTTCAGGACAGTGGTGGAGCACCAGAGCCAGGTCCCAGCTGCAGCCCTGGTAGTTCTCATGAAAATGACAATTTTCAGCATTGGTACTCAAAAAGTATCAGTGCATCCCTAGTTTTGGATACAATGAGAAAGGGTATCTCCTCTATAAGATTATATTACTGTCTGAGTTGCCGTATTAGCACCAGGAGAGAAAGTGAGGGGGAAAGCAACATATTTCATCTGTCACCAGGAAAGAAGTAGTAGTATATCTTCCAGTGGTGATAGCTGTCAAAGTGTGGGTTTCCCATCATTTTGGGGGGGGATTCTACTTACTTTCTGTGGTCTTTCTGAGGACAAGAAGTGCTCGTAAATCTCATTGATGGGGATATAGACAGCAAAACTAAAGACAAAATTTGACTATAGCTTAACAATGAACTGTATTAATTACATATTTTCAATAACTTAATAACAGTAATCATGGAGTGCTCTTTTTCTGTTATAGGGTGCTATTTACAGCCCTTTTTTTAAGGCCCACATTCTGTAAATGAGAAAAGAAAATGTTAACTAAGGGAACACAGGGGGAAAACCCCAATGCTCCACCCAGGCCATTAAAAAGATCAAAAACAAAAATGTGGAAATTGATTTTTACATTGGAGAAAAGATATTCACACTTGGAGAATGGAGTGCAAAGAAGTGCAATTGCAACAGTTGCCAACTGACTATATCATCACCCAAACATGCTGTCAGGATGCTACCTGGCTTCCCCTCGGCCAGACCTAAAAATCTAAAACCCCAAGAGGAAGCATTGACATTATAACCTTTTCTGGACCTTGGGCATTGTGTGATCTACTTCAAAGAAGTATCCAGGGTGTATGTGACATACCCTGTCCCTTTCCCACTGCTGCTCCTACCAGTTGAGTAATACAGCAGTGTCTGCAGCCGCTGCTGAGAAATTCAGAAATACAATGAAGCATTATAGTTTTATTTTGTTCTATTTAGGGGTCACCTTTGTCAGGATCCATCCCGCCACCTGATTGACAGCTTGCTCTCCCTTTCTAGAAGCAGAGCCAGCTGTGCCTGTCCCTCCCTGTCCATTCCTCCAGCCAGTGCTGGAGGAATGGAGAGGGAATCCCTGCAGGGAGCGGTGACTGACAGTCACTGTTCTGTGCAGGGAGAAGATCGGGAACTGAGCGATCAATAGAGCCAACGTGTGACAGCTTCAGTGTCACACATTGGTTCTAATTATGGGGAAGAGTGTATTTCACTCTCACCATAATTCTTCTTTAATCTCAAACATCGGTTTCCCTGGATATTTAGAGAGATCTTGAATACAAGATTTGATACCTACCTATGTTCCAAATATTCATCAAGTCTGTTAAATATCACAAACACAAACTATCAGTCAATGGCTTTGTAAATTAGCCTTTATCCAAATAATTTAGAAATTTGCTTCATACTGGAAGATTTGTGCTAGCAATGTTACAGAATTTAGTTAGAGAGCAATGATCATTTTCAGCGACGTGTCACCCATACATTAGCAAATTTTTAGACGCAACAGGCAATATCTGCGTGTAGCATTAGTTATGTCCAAATTTTCATAGAGCTTTATGGTGATTATACAGAATTATTTTTCAAACATGCATACATAGTATAACATTTATGTACAATGGCATGGTTTATACCAGTGATTCTCAACCTGTGTAACCTTAGGATCCACATTTGTCTTTGGTCATTAAGTTGCAACCCAAGTCGCACTGCAATGGAACGCCCGGCATTGCGGCACCGCGCGTTCCGGTGCGGGTGATTGAACTGTGGGTGGGAGGTGCATTTGGAGTGCCATTCAAATGAATGGCAACGCAGCGCACCTCCCACACCAGAGTGCGTAGTAGGTGCAATTGCATGGTACAGTGCGTTAATTGCACAGAACTGTTCGATTAACGCACTGTACTAGTGTGAACGGGCCCTCATAAACACTGACAGACACACACAAGCACAGACACAATCTCACACACATTTACACTCCAAAATCCTTTTATTTTTTTTAAGACTCCCCCAGTCTCCCCACCTTACGAGAACTGGAGTGGATCTTCAGCCTGGAGTCCAGTGTAGGCTGCTGTGCTGTGACAGAGCTCCATCCATGTGTGCATTGCTTGAACAACCCACTTGCGCTCCCTGTAGAGATTCCGGGAGCCAGAATGTGATGTCACTCCGGTCCAGGCGCCTCTACAGGACACGTGAGGAAGCTGTAAGAGATGCAAGTATGGATGGAGCTCCCTCGTGGCCATAGCTCTAGCCCACCCCTTAAGCTGACACTCAGTGCCGAGTAGCCTATGAATGGCTGCTTGGCACAAGAACTGATAGTGCTGTGTTAGGGGGAGGCTGAGAAGCCTCTCACCTAGAAAAGTGGAAGGCACGGGGTCATGACCCACTTTTGGGTAACGACCCACCAGTTGAGAACCAAGGGTTTATACTACAGTATGTGCATATAGTATACTGTATGTACGCAATAGTATTTTCATGTTAGTTTTCTTAGATTGCCCTGTAGCATGTATTGGCACATACAGATGTATATCTAAATGTAATAAATGTCAATTCGGTTGAAGGGTCAAAGACTCTATTCATTACACATTCTACATGTTTTACTTTTTAATATGGAATTCGGAGGCAGGACCTGCAAAAACACTGCACAGACACAGGATTCATGATTTATATTTACTAAATTTTGAAGAAAAACTATAGCCTGTGAAGCCATAAAACACCTTAAATAATATACTTTCAATAAACAAGTCACATAGGATACCTCATTCCGCATTTGCAATGGAAATGGATTAATGGATCAGGAGACACATCCTTACTGTTCTTTGCACAGCCTGATTAGGTAAAGCCCTATGGAAGTGAAAAAAACAATGCAGTTATCCCACAGCAACTAAATAAGATATCACCTTTCATCAGTTTAGCGTGGTCAGAATAATAAAAGATGACTGCTTATTGCTTGCTATCTAAAACTACAGTTTGTCCTCTTCCTTAGTAAATACACCTCATATTCTTAAAGGGAACCTGTCATTAGAGGAGTTATCTATTGCCTGGTTGACATGCTGATGCTTTTTCCCCAGTATGTGAGTCAATGATCCAGAAAAAGTCCAGAATGCAGATGCTGATCTGCATACCTGTTAATGCTTGGTAACTTAGTGAAAGTATTGACGTCAACCAGGCAACTAGAATTTCAAAAGGGCATCAGAAATGGTAGCCTCTAATCTTCTTTACTTATTTAAAGGCTGATTGACTAGCCATAATTGATATCTTTGTGTCTTCATACAGTGGTTTGCCCAATACCCTGCATGAATGGGGGCCAGTGCTCTTCCAACAATCACTGCCTGTGCCCACCTGAATTCACAGGAAGATTTTGTCAAATCCCTGCTGTTCCTGGAGGCAGTGGATCACGAAGCCAGAGTGAGGCAACCGAAACAGAAGGAATGGAACCATCATCAGGAAAACATGCAGTCTATGCTGTGCAGGTCATTACTGGAGACCATGATCCTGAAGGGAGAGGTGTGAAGATCAGTCAGTCAGCTCTTACTGTACCACTAGGGCCGGGACACAGTTCTGCAGAAGGTATTTTACCTTAATATAATAACAGTCCAAACATAGGTAACAATTAATATTTGTTTTTTCTATTTTTGGGTATGTTTATAATGGGGCCTTTCAAAAACTTTACAAGTCTACATAAAAGAATAACTGACAATAATTATTTTGTCAAGTTACTGTGCCTAAGTATGCTCCCTAAAAGTCTGCTTGAGAGAAACATGCTGTGAGAATGATATCATTTGAGTATGCTGAGGGAAGGACAGGGCCATCCCTATAACGAGGAAGCATGAGGCTGCTGCCTCAGGCGACATCTCTTTTGGTGATGTGGGGGGTGGCAGGCAGAATGGCATGGCCCAATGTTTGCTATGTTCCTGCCACCTCTTTCTGCCAGAGTGTTCCAGGTTGCTAAGAACTAGGCGGGGAGATGTGTAAGGGCCACACACATCTCCCTGCCCAGATGGTAGCAACCTGAGACGCTCTGGCCTGTGTCCCACTCATCTCCTGGCAACCAGTGACGTTAGGAGCAGGGTGGGACTCCAGCAGGAGCCGGAGCCAGTGGTGGACGGGAAGATGATGCAGAGGCCATACCCCCGCTCAACAGGCTAGGGACTCCCCTGGGGCAGGGGGAAGTGTTTCCTTGGTTTTCCCTTCTCCTATTATCACTTTATACAGTTGTGTGTACTGGCAGAGGGTAAGAGGAGGCTGGAGGCAAATTTCTGACTGACTTCGATAGATTTGTATACTGGCTGATCACAGGGGGACAGTAAAAGAGACTGAGCAGGAGAGTTGATTTTTACACTGGTCAGTTACTGAGTACTATGAACAGTGTACACAAAGCCAAGAACATAAAGATTACTGTGTATGTAGATCAGTAGTGGTTAACTTTTTTTTGTTATAGGGGGCCTCAAGTGTGCCCCTGACATTACATCTGCACACAATATTCAATATAATGCACACGCCAAAGAGTTACGGTATATAATAACTCTTGTAAGATTGATACAATCAAAATAAAGCCTTATTTGTCCTTTAAAAGCAACAAATTGCCCACTTCTGTATCATAACTGATAAAGTTATTCACAAATAAAAGTCTCATCCAAAAATTAAACAATTTTGGAGTGTTCTACCTATTCTGCCTCTAACATCAACATTAAAAATTCTTACAAACGCATTACTAAACAAACCATTTCTGGGCACTCCAAATGCTACTCAAACACTAGTGTTTTTTTCTTTTTTAGTAGCAAAAATTAACATAGCTAGGTCATGAAAAACCTCAACTCTTCACCTTAACTTAATCAAAATATCACCGATAATGGCACATGAAAGAATGGCAAACTTTCTAAACAATGGATGTTACTGACAGAATAAAAGTCTGGTCGCACACTGCAAGCTTTGTAGAAAAATTTATTGTAGCACACAGGTACACATTGTCCCACCATGGATCCTCTGCACTCTGACATGTTTCATCCAATAATGTGCTTAGTCATAGGGGGGAATTTATCAAAACTTGAGCAGAAGAATCTGGAGCAGTTGCCTATGGCAACCTATCAGCTTTTCTCTTCAGTCTGCTCAGGTAAGATTTGAAAATGAAAGAGAGAAGCTGATTGTTTGCCGTGCACAATTGCTCCAGATTCTGTCTACTCCAGTTTTGATAAATTCCCCTCATAGTCTTTAGCATAAAGAGAATCCACTGCGGGATGATGTGCACCTGTGCGGTTCAATACATTTTTCAGCGAAGCTTGCAGTGTGCGACCAGACCTTTTTTCTGAATGTAACTGCTGATGCTGGAGCAAGATGGGCTCAGCCGGTGTGCACACGCCATTCTCTCTAGTGCTGCTGTGAAGGAGCAGTGATATTGGGCTTTGGAAATTAATAAACAACAGATGTTTTAGAAGCCTTGGGAAACATTTAATCAAGTACATACAAGCATAAAAAGAAATACAAAACGGTGTATTTATAATAAAAAAAATTGCATACCCTGTCCTCCTGCAAAACTGCATGTACATTTACTGTATACTGTGCAAATGAAGGCAAAATCAAACGTTATTAGTTCATTTTCTTTCCAAGTTGAATGTAATAACAGAAAAATAACACATTATAGCCACTAGATGGAGCATAGGAAACACACAGGTACGATTTTTTACTTGCAATTTTAATTTGTGCACATTAAAAAAAACGCAACAACTGTAGTTCTGCTTTAAGCATAAACTTTTGATACTACATCTGTTTGAAACTAATAAGTTGAAATGGCAAAAAGCTGAATGCGAACACACAGCCCCAATGATTTATATAATTTTGTAGTCTGGAGAAAATGAGAAATGCCCATTCTGTTTACATTCTAAATGATGTAGCGATGACACAAATTCAAAATGTTTTTGTAACAAACATTTCAATAAACACCATTGAAAGAAATTAATAGTCCTATTGGTAAAATGCAAAATAAATATGGATCCATAAATAATAATGTTATATTAAATTAACTGACTGACTGTCTGCATAAACTGGCATCATTCCCTTGCATTTAATTTAACTTATGGATTCTTACATACAGTTACAATGCTACACCCCACCATTTTAAGCACTGTAGCCCATAAGTGAGCCAGGTTTTACACTATTCAAAACTCACCATAATCTATTCTTTTTAGTGGAGGTAAGCTAGAGCAGCATTTCTAAACCTTTTGCAGTCATGGCACCCTTTAAATGTATGCAAAATCTATAGACACCCCAGTGTAAAATGTAAATGTAAAAAATTATGTGTGGTTTCTACAAAATCCACATGGTTTTCCTAGAATGGGGACTGGTGTGGATTTTAGGGGCCCCTCAATGCAAAAAAACAAAAAAGCCCTTCACATCAGAGCCCCCCCCTCCCCCACCCATTCACATCAAAAGCCCCTCTTGACATTAGGAGCCCCCTTCCCCTCAGAGTCCCCTCCTTTCACATCAATGTCTCCCCTTCACATCTGGAACTCCCTTTTAAATGAAAACTTATCTTCTCATCAGAGCCCCCCTCTTTCACATCAAAGTCCTTTCTTCACATCAGGAGTCCCTTTGACATCAGAACCCCCCATCCACATCTAGAGCCCTTTGTCACATCAGAATCCTTAATCCCCCTTCACCTACGTTATAATCCTCACCACAATGTGGCTGCAGCAGCATGGCAGAGGGCGAGAGGTGGAGCAGATCTGGACAGAGGTGGACGTCTGTCCTCTTCAGAATGCTGGGAAGCTGCTGGATGCAGCCTGCCCTGGATTACCGTCATGCATTTCCATGATGCTGGTGGCCGGCTCGCCCAAACCATGATGAAAGGCATGACACTGTCCGAAAATCTGAAGGCACCCCTGACAAAGCAAGAAGGCACACCTTGAGGAAGGCAGAGCTAGAGAAGGAATTCTCTTTATGTAGAATTGTTGTTATTATTTTGCTATTTGTTTTCAGTTTTTTGCTATCCGTCTACTGAGTTGCTCAGTGCATGGACACTGTCAGATGTTTTAGCATAAACATGTAAATTGTAACTATAAAATATTCCATGCAGCAAAAGTAAATCAGTTTCAAAAAGGGGTCTGTATTTAGTTATTATTTTATCACCTCCAATGTTTTGTCTGTCCTGTGTAATATTTAATTTCTCTGCAGTTCAGGTCCTTCCACCTCTTCTAAATGTCAGAGTTCATCACCCACCCAATGCATCCATCCAGGTTCACCGTATTGATGGCCTTGGATCTGAAGGAGGTGGAGGTCAGCATATAATCTCTCATCCTGAAGGGAACAAAGCAGCAGCATCACGTCCCATCACATTCAAACCTCTAGGAAGATGCTTTCAAGACACCCTGCCCAAACAAGTTGTAAGTGGTTATGTGAAAAAAAAACTTTCCTGGCTCCTAATATTTGTGTGTGTTTTAATCTTCAATCATTTGATTTAAGGAGTATAGGAGACTAGTGCTTTAATTTGCATCCAGAATTCTTGAGCACAATTCAAAAATTCTTGCAACTCATGGTTTTTATAGAAGAGAACTGTTTTTGTATTTGTAGTCAGTGTAAATCTTTTTTAATTTTTGTAGTTATTACTTTTAATATTCATAATTGTGGTATATTTCTATGTTTATGGAGCAAAAGACACCTATGGTTAGTGATCATAGTCATGTGGTTGTTTTGAGCATTAACTGCGTAATATAATAAAACTCAGCAAATGCAAGGACAGCTTTATTACCTTAAGAAACAGAAATACATGTACGTTCAAAGGGAACCAGTCAGGATGGATTTTGTTTTTAATGTGCAAGCAGTGGGGCTGTCATCCCCACCATTGCTTCACTACTTTTTTTGCTTTTGGTCTGTGATCCGCTTTGCAGTGATAAAAGAGATGATGACAACCCTGGTTGTTGCATTCTCTATGACATAGTCAGCTATAGTAGTTCACATATTTCTCTCCTGACAAATTCTCATAAAAGGAAATCTATCATAAAAATATATACTTCTATCATTTTACAAGTCCTGGCTGTAAAATGCAAACTTCACCTTTATTTTCAGTGAAGTCCATGACCCAAGAAAAAGAATAGCAGTAAGTGAAGTTTAAAATCTGGAGCTGCATAGCAGTTGTAAGTTAGTTATTTCATTTAGTGAAGCAAAGAGGTCAGCTGCAGAGCTTTGAGATGTAGTCTTAAACTTGTAGAGTTTGTTTTCTGTTTCTTTGTCTTGGATACGTGTAGATATGTGACTGATTTTCCACCAAGGATACAAAATGTAAATTGTAATCAAGTTTAACAAAGGCAGAGTCACTGGGGTTGATTTACTAACCTTATAAACACACCACGAACATGTATACACCTCTGTAGTGTGTTCCCTCCCAGCATGATCTATGGGTGGAATCTAAACACCTTTCTAGTGTGTACACACCCAGCAGGTGTGTTGTGCAAAGCCCTGCCCTGAATTGCAAGGTGATGTTGTGTAAATTAGCACTACATTGTGTTGCTTGCGTTGATGAATGCAGGAATGTAAATGCATGAGCTAACCATTTTTGTCTAAACTGTGAAGCAGCATTATATATGCATCATGTGCATGATTTTTCCATATATGGCATTAGTGGAAATATGCTTATAGAGACTTTTTGGTTGATAAATACGCTTTGCTGTGTAAAAATCACACGCACCTGGTGCGTGCGTGTGTTTAGGTTAGTAAATCACCCCCAGTATGTCAAAAACCTTATTATTAAACTAAGCCCCCCTCCCTTCAGGACAGGAGGTACCATAAGGTACCTGAAAGTACCTTAATAATCACTGATTCCTTCCTTTCAGTGCTAACATAAATATTTTGATTATTGGGGTATGGCAAGAATAGGCAAGCCCCTTATGGGCCTCACATGACCGCAAACTAACGCCAGGTCCAATCTTAAATAGAATGTTTATAGTTGCACATTAACCTTTGCAGGCTCTGAGGGCTGCTTTGAGAGGGAACAATATTTTAAAAAATGACCTACTTTTCAAGGGAGCTTACCAACTTTTTTCAGACAGGTTTTGCATGTTCTTGTCTCAGGGACTAAAGTATTCAAAGCATTCTCTGGCAGTCTAGTTCATGACAATTACTGTGTCTTTGGTTGTGCTGAGCTGGCTTTTAATGCACTTGTACTCCGTAAAGTTTTTTTGTCTTACAAGCAGATACAAATTACCCCTATATTGTTAAAAACATATGCTATATTTGTAGTTTCATACCCTGTTCTCATCAGTACTATACTCTCAAGTTTCCTTCTGCATAGGGATGCACCGATACCGACACTAGTATCTGTGCCAATACCGAGTATTTGGTCAAGTTCTCGTACTCGCCCAAATGTTCTGATACCTTCCCTGATACTGGAACTTCCAGTGAGAGGAAAAATTCCTCTGACTGGCAGTGCCGTAGCGGAACATGGATCCAGCTTCCAGGGCAATCCGGAAGCCGTATGGCGAGCAATGACTCACCTCCCAGCTTCCTGATTGGCCCGGGAAGCCGACTTCATGTTGATTGGCTGGGAAGCCAGCTTCCTGGCCAATCAGCATTGAGCCGGCCAAACAGCCAGCTCCTTGCTGATTGGCTGGGAAGAAAGCTTTCCGGCCAATCAGGAAGCCTGCTCGATGCTGATTGGCAGAACAGAACTTCATTAAATTCTGAGGAAACTACACATGTGTTTCCTCCAAATCAGTCACCAACGCTTGAACCCCTCACATGTGTAGGTGAGAATTCTCCACAACACTGCCAGCCAGTACCTCACTATATATACAGTACATATATGTATTCCCCACTTTGTGCACTGTCAGTGTTCAGTGACGTCATGCGCATACTTTATCCCGTCGGGTGACTGTCCCCTCCTCTGCCGGCGTCCATCACCAAGATGGCCGCCGGCAGGTATCAGAATACTGCCACGCGTGCGCGATGACGTCATCACACACGTCCGGGTGTCACCCAGCCTCGGGACGCCCCTGTGTTGCCCTACCACATTCCTTGTTACTTTGATATGCCATGCTGAAAATGTGTGTTCTATAATTGTTTTGTTCTTTCCCTGACTTTGACATTATGTGTCCTTTTACCTTTGCACTGTGTGATGTCATTACTAGGGTATGTTGTTGGTGGGAGGGGCTTTGGGTGCATTAGTCCGTACACCTTTTGTTTTAATGTCCTGATAAAGACGGACTAAGCTCTGTGAAAACATTGATGCTTTGACTTAGGGTTGCACAGATACAAAGTACAGTACTCGGTACAAGTACAAGTACATGTACCGATACTTTTGAGCTCCAAGACTACACTAGAGAAAAATTCAAAAGTTAGGAGGCAGCTGTCATTGGTAAGGAGCACACGGAGCTCCTGGGATTTGTACATCTCTGTTTTAATGTACGATTTTGTTTTTATAAATATAAATAAAGGGATGCACAGATACCAGTTTTGCGAGTACGACTACTGGTACTTGTTGAGTACTTACAAGCACGAGTACTGATACATTTTTGTTTATTGTCATGTGACAGTTTTTCTAAAACAATACAGACTAATGATTTCAGGACAGTGGTGGAGTGCCAGAGCCAGGTCCCAGCTGCAACCACTGCAACCCTGGTAGTACTTTTAATGAAAATGCCAAGTATCTGCACTGGTACTCGAAAAGTATCTGTGCAACCCTACTTTGACTTATTCACTCTCTCACATTTGTCCATTTACTACACTTGTGGGGTGCATGGTCTAGTGCAGTTTTTTCTGGCTACTTTGGTATCTTTTGTTTGTTACTTTGTGCTATTATGTTGCCCCAGTGGCGTCACAAGGGGGGTGCGGCCCGCACCCGGGTGACACCAAAATGACTCACAGTCATTTTGGTAAAAACCCCCCCCCTGAAAAGTCGGATGCTCGGTCAAGGACCGAACGCCCGACAGTATCAGGAGAGAGGACGGGACCCGGCGGCATACCTTATCCCGTCGATGACTGTCCCCTGCTCTCTCTGCCAGCGTCCATCACCAAGATGGCCGCCGGCAGGTATCAGAATACTGCCGCATGTGCGTGATGACGTCACCACGCGCTTGCGCGATGACGTCATCGCGCATGCGCAGTGCCGTCATCGTGCTTGCGCAGTGACGTCTCGGCGGGATGACACTCGTTTACCGCTCCGGGTGTCACCCAGCCTCGGGACGCCCCTGTGTTGCCCTACCACATTCCTTGTTACTTTGATATGCCATGCTGAAAATTTGTGTTCCATCATTTTTTTGTCCTTATCCTGACTTTGACATTATGTGTCCTTTTACCTTTGCACTGTGTGATGTCATTACTAGGGTATGTTGTTGGTGGGAGGGGCTTTGGGTGCATTAGTCCGTACACCTTTTGTTTTAATGTCCTGATAAAGAGGGACTAAGCTCTGTGAAAACATTGATGCTTTGACTTACAGGTGAAACTCGAATAATTAGAATATCGTGCAAAGTTCATTTATTTCACTAATGCAACTTAAAAGGTGAAACTAATATATGAGATAGACTCATTACATGCAAAGCAAGATAATTCAAGCCGTGATTTGTCATAATTGTGATGATTATGGCTTACAGCTCATGAAAACCCCAAGAACCCCAAATCCACAACCTCAAAAAAGTAGATTATTACATGCAATCAATAAAACAAGGATTGTACATAGAACAATATCGGACCTCTGAAAAGTACAAGCATGCATATGTACTCAGTACTTGGTTTGGGCCCCTTTTGCAGCACTTACTGCAATTACTTTTGCACGATATTCTAATTATTCGAGTTTCACCTGTATCTCCACTGCAAGACCTGTGAGTGCTGTATATTAGACGTGCGATGTGCGATTCGTTTTGTTCCGAATCGAAATTCGGACAAAATTTCGGAAATTCAGAGATTTGGATGCATCCGAATTACGAATTACAACTAAAACAAATACAACGAATCGAAATTCAGACAAAATTTCAGAAGTTCGGAAATTCGGATGCATCCGAATTACGAATTACAGATATAACGAATGCTAACGAATCCGAATTCTCAATTTCCCGAAATTCGTTAGCGGTAGTCCGGTCGAAAGTTCGTTTATTGGACGAAATTCGTTAGCAGCAAAGTGACATTAGAAAAAAAAATGTTTTTGTTTTTTTTTACAGTCTGCAGAAGATGAAAAAAAAAAAGCGTGAGGTTCCCCCCCAATTCCTACCAGACCGTTTAGGTCTGGTAGGAATGTTAGGAGGGACCCTCCCCCAAGTTAAAACAAAAAAAAGTGCATGGGGTTCCCCCCAAAATCCTACCAGACCCTTTAGGTCTGGTAGGAATTTTAAGGGGGAACCCCAGCCCCCAAAAATGGGGGGAAAAAACGTGGGGTCCCCCCTAACAGTCCTACCAG